TTTTTAATTCAAGACAAGTAGTTAATTAATTTCTTGTTTTTCTTGATTAATCAATTAGGATGTTGAAATAGTAAATTAGAAAATAAACAATATTTTCGTGGGAACAATCGTTCGGACTCATAGGTCCATTATATTACTTGTTTTGATATCGTACATTTGCTATAGAATATACGCAACAACTCTCCTCTCACATTTCTTTATTGGTGACGTTTTCATTGGCCCTCAGATGCCTATATTCATTTATCTGTATAATGCGTGCATTTGATTTCATAAAGATGCAATTAAAATTTTAATTTGATTTTAATCTATTTTAAACAAGGGTTTAGTTGAGTTACTGTAGAGACTTCTATAATTTTTTACGTGTATCATACATCTTACTTTAATAGTTTTTGTTATAATTCATGTGGGACTGGGATTTTTATGTTAGACCAATATCCCTTTTTTAATTATTGAGGATCGTTTTTTTTTTTTTTTATGGAAAAAAATTATTTCATTCATAAAAGCAAAAAACCTTAAAAGGGTACAATAGTATCTATCAATGAAAAATACATTTTCAATGAAAAAAGGAACACTGTGCCACTAAAGTTTCATATCTTCAAGAGTTCATGCATGTCGCGCCAAAAAATGAGCTGCCTGATTGCTCAACCTATTGCAGTGTTGGAGCCTACATTGAGGGAATCTTTGTATTGTTCCCTGTATTGAGTATCGTTTCAATCTGAACATTTTGGTCCCTTCCTATACTTTATTATTGGTGATCTTCAAACTGTACATTTTTGTCCATTTTCAGGAACAATATCCTTTATTTAAGGGAAAATTACAGTCACGGTACCAAACCTTTCCAATTTTCGCAGACTTTGTCCAAACATTTGTTTTGTGCTACCGGAGGTACCAAACGTTTCAAAAATATGCACCGGAGGTCCAAATGGACGGTTTCCGTTCAGTTGACCATGAATATTATATTTTGACCACTTTTGACAAAAATAGGAAGAGTAAAATGATAACTTGACAATTTTCTCTTAAATAAATTTTAAAAAAAATAAAAAATAAATGTGCAAACAATCAGTTCTCCTTCACAGCATCAACGGTGTCGGCCACAACCGGCACACTGCCGAGCATCGCCGCCGCCGCCTCTTCCCACTAGCACCACCACTATCGTCCTCCCACCACCACCACCACCACCACCACCACCACCACCACCACCATTGAGTACCGAATTTTTCGCACAATGCCTCCTAACTTCACCCATAAATTTTTTGATTTTTGGTTGCAATTGAGCTTGATCCATGGGTGGGTGGGTTGGGTGCACCAGAGGAAGAGGAAGGTTGCCAAGGTGGTCCGCGACCATGGGTTGCCGGACGAATTTGGAATCTCCATTTTTCGAACCCAACTATTCGACAATCACGAGTGGGCAGTATTCTGGGATAAATTTGTTCAGTTGGAGGGATGTTTGAGATAAATTGTGGCTAGGGCTAGGGTCGTTTGGGCATGGGCAAACAGTCGGTGTAGGGTCGTCTGAGCTTGGGCATGTCGGATTGTAAGATTCCAACAAATTTGTGATTTTCAGGCAACGATTTTTGGGAATTAATTTCTTCCAAATCCGTGGTTGTTATGGGTGGATGTTGGGATGTCATTGAAGAGGGCATTAAGGGCTTTCCACGAGTATCAATATCCAGTGGTTTTGGGGGCCGAAAGTTGTCGGAAAATGAACGGTTGTTTTTTAGGGGTGGGGTGGATGCGATTTGGGAAGAAGGTGAATAGTGTAACCTTTTTTTATTTTTCTTTTTTTATTTTTAAATTATGAAGTTACCATTTTACCATTTGTTGATGTGGTCAAAATAAATGTTTGGAGTCAACTGGGTGGAAACCGTCCATTTGGACCTCTAGTGCATATTTTTGAAACGTTTGGTATCTCCGGTGGCACAAATCAAAGGTTTAGGCAAAGTCTGCGAAAATTGGAAATGTTTGGTACCGTGACTGTAATTTCCCTTTATTCAATTATCTTTTTTGTCCCAATGAATTCAATTTGCGGTAATCATTAATAGTTGATCAGTCTACAAAATATCATGATATTCTTGAATGGATTGTGTAAATAATTTTTCAACCTGATGCCAGAAAGCATACTCACTTTAATGATAATTTCCCTTTGTTTCCAAGAGCAAAGTTGTGGAGATTTAAGAATTTGCTTTCCAAGTATTTACAGCATCAAAACTCCTCAATTTCTTGATATAATCAATCTCAAATCTTGTTACTAATGCATGTATTTGAATTTGAGTTGGGGTAGGATCGAATGGATACTCAAGAGCGTTTAGAGGAGAGCTTAATATACTATGAGAACTGCCCGGGATGTAAGGTGGATCGGCAAAAAGAGATGCTGCACGGTCTGCCAATCAAGGAATTCCTTCTGCTATGGATAGTTGTGCTTTCCTCAGGTAAATAGAATTGATTTTGGAATATTTTTAGTTGAATGCCAATGCTTGATTTCTTTTCGTTATAAAATTTCATTATACGAACATATGTGTGCTGTCTGCTATACATTGTAATTGAGGGGCTTTGGAGGTTAGGATCTAACAAGTAAGGATTAGTACACGTAAAATACGCGTACATCTATATTATCATTATTATTATTTTAAATAAAGATACGTGGATATTTATATATACATTATGAGGTTTGTAAATTATAAAACCTAGGTAATTTTTTTTTTTTTTAAATAAGCCATTTTTAATTATACTATTTAAACAGTGGGGAGTAGTTAGTTAGAATGTCTTATACTCAATTTTAACTGTTCTGAGTGCAACGTACAGGTTGAATCTATTGTTCAGACCGTTCTAATAAACTGCGAAAATCAATTAACTGATTAAAACTTGAATACTAGATGTAATGTGGTAAACTCCAAATGGAAATATCAACAGCCTACATACCACAGGTCAAACAATCCATTAAATCAAATGATAAAAAATATAATAGTATACATTTTGTAATCCCTCAAAATCATTAACAATTGAAAGAAATCTAAGAACAACTCCCTTCCCTATCGCCAACTGCCAGTTGGATTAA